TCCGAATTAAGAAGAGTGTGAATGATTTATTTTAGTTAATATTTAATTTTAATAGAACAGGAGAAATACGGACAGAGATCTTGCACACACAGATGCGTTAAACTCAAAAATTAATCTGACGAGGGCGTACGACTTCTTTGTTAGTGAATGTATCCAAACGCGTTATTTGTCAAGCCTAGGTGGAATCTACATGGAATCCAAAAAAGTTCAGGAGTCCGAAAAACAGTTTCATTCGACACATTGAATAGTTCTTTTGTAAAAGTGTTCATGGTTTTCTGTTATTCTGTTCTTAAGGATATGATATCCTTTTGAATTGAACTTTTTTGACCACTAACTTTTGATTTGAACCTCTTAAAACTAGCCTGTCTTGTTCAGTTTTTTCTGCTTGTTCGATCCATGTGTAACTCGAATTTTTAAAATAGGGACTAGAACAGGGAAAAACTAAAATATGACAAAAGTCTATTTTTTCGATTTTTTTGTATGGGACTTTTCATACAAAATCGGTAGCTCATTCAATTTTAGGCTCTAAGATTTAAAAGCTTGGGTTTATGGGTAACTTTGAACGTTTTATCTAATGAGATCGTAAAAACTGTTTTAATTTTGACCATGTTACACGCTTTTTCAATAGTTGCGCGAACCGTCTCTTAAATCATTTCCCAAGATGAAACATTTCTAGATAATATCTTGGTACGTAAGTATAGGAAAAAGTATTGCTGTCACATTAAAGACGACACAGACGAAGAAACGCATAGTAGGATATATAAGGATGATAATATATAAGTCATACCACTTAGTCATATATGTATATGTATATAAGTCTTTCGTGTACATAAACGTACGTATTCCTTTGCAAAAGATTGATTAGGTCCAAGTCTCCTAAAAAATTACTGCATTGAGGAACAGTTTCCATGTTATTTTATTAAAGCAAACATTATCTGACAATGTTACGTTGTGTTCTGGAGAAGAACAGTGTTTTTCCAGTGTTTGTTTTTCAGAAAGTTTGTAGAACTAAATGGATGCACATAGGCTACGTTCTGGAGATAAACAAAAAGTGCACAGACACCTTTATATTCCCTTATAATGTTTCAGCTTTAAAGACAAAACCTATAAGAATAAAAAGCACAAAACAATAATGTTTCTTAAGAAATTGTTTCTGTTTTAGCTGCGGTGAACGGATTGGAATTTCAAAACGTGTCTGTTCTGAGTTAAAAAGAAAGAAAAAACTCATGCTTATGTGGAATATAAATATAAATATGTACAGGTGAATCGTCACAGGAAAAGTTATTACACAATCAAGCGGCAATTTGTCGAAATGATTGACTCAAGACTATATTCATCTTATAAAATAACTCATTATTCTTGTACCACATTGATTATTTTCAGGTATATAGTATTAGTTGTATTTACTACTAATAAATGGTTACGTTAATATCTTAATCGGAATAAGGGACTATATTAGTGTATTATTGAATCATATCGGAATTGCAAGACTCATAAATCTCAGCATCTATTCTTCCTTGGGAATAGTAGTTATCTGTAACATTTTTGGAATACAGTAGAAACATGTCTGCTAAATCAATAGTACAATCAACAAACTTCACTTCTGAAGATGAGTTGATGGAAGTCGATGAGAACATTGATACCGAACCGTATACTATTGTCAGTAATGGTTGGTTACAACTCAGAGATAATTCGAAGATTGAGAAATTCCTCGTGGAAATGGCACCGTCTAAGATTAACAATACAACTGGTTGCTTGTGGATATCGGTGCATAATCAGTCGAAGACAAGAAATTTAGGCATATCAAATATTGGTGAACTGTGTCAAGAATTTAAACAGTTAGAAGTAAAACTTGGCAAAGACATGAAAATACAGCATATGGAATATTTGGCTAGAAAGCACAATGTTTTATGTGGAAAGTGGATGTGTTCTGTTAAAACACCACAAGTTGATTACGTGTGGCAATGTATTGCTCGTGCTGTTATCAAGGGTCGTTTGGGTTCATCTGCTAAAGTTCAATCGTCCGCGCTCAATCGAATAATAACTCATGTTATTTGTGTTTATACAAATAATTATTTGGATTTAGAAGAACGAAAGATGATACGAGATGCACTTGCAAATGTGTTGATTGAATCAAACACTTTTGTTCGACGTCTGACCTATAAACCAGATATTTATACATATTTAGGAATTTATGGTAACCATTCAGTAATAAGTGCCGTTGTCGATTCGATCAAATGGTAAAAATTTTTTTTTGTGTGTACTTCTGCTTCTACTTAGTAATAAATAAAAAATTCATTGCAAACTGTTTCAGAATGTCACCTACAGCATAGATTAGAAATGTATTTGATCGCCGAACAATGGCAGAAATGATGATGTGCGCATTTAAAATATGGTTGCTGATTTCTATGTGTCATTGTATAATCGACAAAATTGATGCTCACGAAGGAACACCGCGAGACGACACACTGCTATTTCAATGATTTATATGTCGATCGATAGAGGATAATGAGCTAGTACAACTCTAAAAGCATTTCGACCCATAGCACTTCTTCGACAATTTATGAACTTTTTGTTTTCTTGCCTTATGCCTTAGCACACCCAAAA